CTGGGGAAGGGGCAGGATTTGGGACCACGTGTGGGGAAGGTTCCTTGGGTGGGACCCAACGCTGGCACGACCACCCTCCAGAGGAATGGGATCACCTAGGTGTGGGGATGCGTGAGACCACTTGGCTGGGGAGGGGTGAGATGTGGGTGGGACCATCTCCCTGGGATGGGAGAATGACACACAGGTGGGAACACCTGTTGGGACACACACACAGGCACCTCTGGAAGCTGGGGAGGGGTGTGGAACCACCCAGCTGGGAATGGATGGGACCATCTGCTTGGGGAGGAGAGAGACATGGGTGGGAGAGAGCCAGTTGGGACCACCCACCTGGAGGCCACAACCACCCCTGGGGATGGGTGGGATCACCCAGCTGGGGCATGGATGGGACCACCTGCCTAGGGGGACAGCTGTCACGTTTGGGGGAGGAAGGATGGGGCCCTGAGGTGTGGGATCACTTCTAAGGAGAGCTCGGCCTCTTTTGGGGAGGGGGTGACAGGGATGAGGGAGGTCTCCTTGCTGCTGGCACTCCATTCTCACAGCTGCTCTCTCCTAGGAGCGAGGAGGCAACAACTCCTTCACCCATGAAGCCCTCACGCTCAAGTACAAACTGGACAATCAGTTTGAGCTGGTGTTTGTGGTGAGTGACTCCCTTGGGATGGCAGGGGGTCCCTCCAGCCTCCCAGGGTGTCTTCAAACCCCTGGGAGAGGGATCAGCCCAGGAAAGAGGGGGAACACCTCCCAGCCTGTTGTGGTTTGAGCAAACAGCTGTTCCCATTGCCCAGGGCTGTGCCTCGGCTCTAGGGCTGGGTTAGCCCTTCTGGCTCTGAGGTTTAGGGATGGGATGAGGGTCTTGTCATTCTGGCTGTGGGAGGGTCTCAGGGGGTCAAGCAGTGACCACAGCCGGGCCCAGGGTGGGTGGACATGGGTATCTTAGCCATACACCACTGCTTTTTGTAATCATCTGCCGCAGGACTCAGACTCACTAAACCTCAAACAGAGGTTGTTCAGCCACGTGAAGCTTTGCTTTGGCCACATCTATTTAAAACCAGCCAGAAATGTGTCACCCTTTGGCTCTAGGCAGTGTTGAGCACTCTCCCTTTCAGCCTCCCTGTGCCTTATCTCCATAAATCCACACAACCTTCCCTGTGCACCTGCAGATAAGGTTCTCTGTCTTTGCACCACGTGTCCTCGTTGCCATGAGACCAGCCATGTGTGTGTTGGCTTTGGAAGTGAAGCTCTGGACTGTTTTTTACCTATTTGAGGGCATTTCTAAAGCTTGGGAAGGAAAGCAGAGCAGAAAGCACAGCCTGGAGCTTGCCCAAGTTATGGAGCTCTGGATTAAACAGACAGGTTTTGCTTACTTGCTGCTGTGGAGTGAGCTGGAATGCAGTGTCTGTTGGCCTCTTGGTAGGTGGGATTCCAGAAGATCCTGACTCTAACCTACGTGGACAAGTTGATAGACGACGTCCATAAAGAGTTTCGAGACAAGTATCGCAACGAGTTCCAGCAGAAAGGTGCTCTGGGCCTCCTAAATGGAACCTTTGATTTTAAAGACGACTTCATGCGCCTCCTCCGGTAGCACAGCCTGTTTTTTGTCTCAAATATTCCGTTGTGGGCAGAGATGGGAGTGGGGGAGAGCTGAAATCCAGGCTAACGGGTCACGCCCCGCAGGGACGCGGAGGAGAGCAGCAGAGTGCGAGCTCCCACCGTGATGAAGACGTTTGAGCAGTCTCTGAAATCCCAGAAGACTGTCAAGTGTATGATTGAAACCCGAGGGGAGAAACCAAAGGAGAAAGTCAAGAACAAGAAGAATAAAGGTTCCAAAAAGGAGGGTGAGTCAAAGGGGAGGATGGGCAGGGGGGAATAAGTCCCATTCTGCTTGGAGCTGGGCTGAGCTCGTGTCAGTCTTCCCCTCAGGAGCTGAAGCTGTCCCAGCACCCAGCAAAGCATCCACGGGGGACAAGCAGCTCTCAGCAGCAGGAGACAAGGAAGAACTGACCAAGGATGAAATCCTGCAAAAGAACCGGGAAGAATTCTTCAGGAGACACATGAAAGCTGGGGAGAAGTCCAGGTGGGTGATGAAGGCATGGTCTGTCTACCTGTGCTTCAAACCAGGCCATGGCTGAGTCTCCTGATTTTGGTGATCCTGGAAGTCAAAGCTCACTTCTCTGGAGCATATTTCCCTTATCCTTACCTGCGTGCTTGCTGGGAAGACTGGGAGAGGGCAGCTGGGGGCCCTGGAGGGTGATAGAGCCTGATCCCTTCCCTGGGAGACCCAGAACCCAGCGTGTGCTTGGGAGGGGTCCAGACCTCTCTTCAGTGGGCAAACGGCAGCAATGCATCAATGCCTGTCTCAAGGGGAAGAGGTGTCATACAGGAGTAAAGTTCAGATAAATAAGCTCTGGAGGCTGAATCAGCCAGGTTTGGCCTTAATATCTGCCTTTTTGGGTAATCCAGGCCTTTATTTTATTTTATCTTTAGAAGATGTGAATGTTCTAAGGAGGTGATTGCTGGCTGCTGCTTCCCTGTCCTGAACACAAGGATTCCTGGTCTTTGTCTCCTCAGATCTCCAAAGCCTGACGCACAGAAGGAGAAAGGGAAGAAGCCCCGAGTGTGGGATCTGGGGAACTCCAATGCCAAAGTACTGGATTACAGTAATTCCGCTACCAACGGCAGCGCCGAGGCCTGTCCTGTGGAGGAGTTTGACCCTGACATGGTAAGGAAAAGTCAGGTTGCTCTGGGATCAGGTGGGTGTTGGAAACCTGGCCCAGCCTCTGGGGCTGGGTGGGAAGGGTGGAGGACACAAACAGGGATTGTGGCACCCAGCCCTGCTGTCCCCTCACAGGCCCTGGGGGACAGGAACCGGGAGCCAGGTCGCCTCTACGACCTGGAGTACGAGAGTGATGACGAAGCTGAGGAGGAGAAGGTTGTCCAGAACCCTTCCAAACCCAGGTAGAGGCTCCCCCAGCCCCTGCTTGTCACATGTGTCTTATTCCTCTCCTGTAACTCCTGTTCCAGTCTAACCAGTAATGCAGGAAGGGAACACTAGTATGTTTGTCACTGTGGGATTGGCTCTTCTGCATCTTCCTGCATAGTGATAGGACAAGGAATCATGGGGATAAACTGAAAGAGGGAAATTTAAGTTGGATATTAGGAAGAAGTGTTCCCTTTGAGAGTGGTGAGACACTGGCACAGGTTGCCCAGGGAGGCTGTGGCTGCCCCAGCCCTGGCAGTGTTCACAGCCAGGTTGGCTAAAGCCTTGAGCAACCTGCTCTGGTGGGAGGTGTCCCTGCCCAGGGCAGGGGTTGGGGCTGGGTGATCTCTAAGCTCCATTCCAACCCCTTAACATACTCTGAAACCATCTGACCTGTGCAGCTCTCGAATCTAAAGGTAACTCCTCTGCTTCTCCGCAGCGCGAAGAAGGGTGGCCTGGGGGGCATGTTTGGCATGCTGAAGGGCCTGGTGGGCTCCAAGAGCTTGACCAGAGAGGACATGGACCCTGTGCTGGAGAAGATGAAGGATCACTTGATCGGTATGTTTGGATGTGCTGTGAGGTCCCTATGCTCTGTCGGGTGGGTAGCACCCATGGATTGGGATGTTCTTACCCACAGGAACTGGGGTTGGTTCCTGTCTTGTCTCTGGGGAGCCCTTGACAGCGCAGCAAAAGGGGGGCAGTGGTCAGGTCTGGTGGGGTCCTGCACACTTACTCCATCCTCCCCTTGATGTAAATGTCTGGTGTGTGGAACCTTCTCAGCAGTGCTAACTCCCTGCTCACTCTCTCCCTTTCTTCCTCTCAAAGCTAAAAATGTGGCAGCTGAGATTGCAGTGCAGCTCTGTGAATCCGTGGCCAAGAAACTGGAAGGGAAGGTGATGGGAACATTCACCAGTAAGTATCCGTGTGGCCTCCTGCCTGTGGTTTGGGGCTTGGGAGCATACCCCAAGCATGATGGATTTCTCCTTCCATCCCCTCCTGCCCAGCGGTGACCTCAACGGTGAAGCAGGCGCTGCAGGAGGCTCTGGTGCAGATCCTGCAGCCCCAGCGCCGTGTGGACGTGCTCCGCGATGTCATGGATGCTCAACGCCATCGCCGACCCTACGTCGTCACCTTCTGCGGCGTCAACGGTGTCGGCAAGTCCACCAACCTGGCCAAGGTGGGACAGGCTCCTCCCGGGTCGTGGGACCAGGGTGATGGGGTTGGGCTGTAGCTGCTAATGTGGTGTTTGGTGCGTTGCCACCTGCAGATCTCATTCTGGCTGATCGAGAACGGCTTCAGCGTGCTGATCGCGGCGTGCGACACGTTCCGCGCTGGCGCGGTGGAGCAGCTGCGCACGCACACGCGGCGCCTCAACGCGCTGCACCCCCCGGAGAGCCACGGCGGGCGC